CCAACACCCACACTGGAATAAGGTAGATTCACCCCTGGCTATTTCCTATTATATATATCTACAAATTTGACTGTAAATAGCCTCTAATATTATTTACAAATCCTAAAAAAAAAATATAATATTTTTTTTTGGGATTTTAGTTTTTATAAAAAATAAATACGTGAGGGGCTAATAAAAGGCTAATGCTTTATTTGGCTATTTTTAGGCATGAGATTATTTTGGGGTGTAAATCTCAGAAGTATGCATGCATTTCCATGTCTCCTTTCATTGGCTCCTCCTTTGTAATTCTTTCATAAATGCAAAATGACGAATGTTAATGCAGATCCAGACCCATTGCAGGTATGTGTCCAAATTTAATCGCCATGATGATGATGATGGCTATTCGTCTTACTCAATTTTCATGAATTTCTCATTTCTCTTTTTATGTTATTTTGTTCCCATCGTATGTGGATCTTATACATGATGATTCAGGTGGAAAGTGGCGATGACAAAATCGAGCCACCACCATCACCACCAGGGCCTGCTTTTCATGGCGGGAGCAAGGTATTTTTTTGTTAAATTTATCATATCGACATTTGGTTTCCTCATAATTTATTTGTTTACTTATTTTATCATTTTTTTCCTTTTAAAGGAGTTATAATCTTTGTTGTGCATCAAATCTATGTATGTTGGGCAGATATACGCTAATGTTTGAACTATTCTGGTGGCTTCGAGGGCATATATTCTTATTATATGAATTTATGATTACTTTTCTAGCTAGAAGAGGTATACTATAAATAGGGAACATATATTTGGACATTATTGTAAAAATTTGAAGAGAGATCTTGCATGAGAACAATTTAAGAAGGTTTAAACATATCTGAAGATTTAGTTGTTTCAGATTGAATCAAGTAATAAACTTAGAGGAAGATTTTTTAGGAAAAAAAATAGTTTTTATTAGTTAAAGACAAAGAAATCATGTGTCGGTTGACAATCATCGACCATTCTTTTTTTTTTTTTTT